AAGGGCCCGGATTTTCAAGAGCACTCAGTACCCACATTTTTGGCCAGATTTTTAAAGAAGAGCTCAACTCCCAGTTAGTCCCTTAAAATGAAGGGGCAAAAATTTTCAAAAAACCCACCAATTCTCATTGTTAACAATAAGAGCTGCTGGGCACAGAGCTATTTAGAAAACCCAGCCTCTTCATTTAAGTACTAAATGGGAGCAGAGCTCTTCTGAAAATCTGGCCATTTATTTACATGCCTAAATGGAAGATGCCAAATTCTTTTGAAAAAATCTAGCCCTAGAACGTTTGCTCCATGTAACCAATGCCAAATAATATCATGGTGCAAGAGGCAGTAGTCTAGGCATTAAATCAACTTAATCCTTTCTATACAAATATTTGACAGTCCGATGAAATTAATTCTAACCAGGGAATATGGCCATCTATTTAAATTTGTTTGTGGTTAACCATATTAAGCATGAACGTCTTGAATACCGAATAGCACAATTGGGTTTTTTGGTCCCAAATCAATTGTGCCAAAACAGCCTTATCCCTGCATAAAAGAAAAAAAGTTAAACAGCATTTTCAGTTGTTCCAAGTTCTGTATGTGCATCTGCAATGCTATGAACGTGACGGTAGGATTTGGTAAAAATTCCTTCCCTGGTACATCAAATATACATTGCAGTACTAACATGCAGGTGGGGTGGAACCAAAGGCTTGAGAGTTTCCTGAGGAGATCACCCAGAACAGCAGAAATGCAAAATTTCGCCAAGGCGAAAGTGGTTAACATAGGTGGGCTCGATTGTGATACCCTCATCCACGTTGAATAGTATCTTGCAATATGAGTAGTCGCACTGAAGGGAGGCAGTATGACCTAGTGGAGAGAGCACTGGACTGGGACTCAGGAAAACTGGGTTCTATTTCTGGCTCTGCCACTGGCCTGCTGGGTCACGTTGGCAAGTCACTTCACTGCTCTGTGCCTCAGTTTCCCCATCTGTAAATGGGGATAATGATACCGACCTCCTTTGAAAAGCACTTTGAGATCTACTGACGAAAAGTGCTAGATAAGAGCTAAGTGTTATTATGGTGATGGATTAAGTTACTATTCAGCGTGTGTAAGGGTCTCACAAACCTCACTGAGGCAATAGCATGGCTACGGAAGAGCATCAATGTACACAGTATGGTATCAGCTCTGCTGAAAGCGGGAAGATAGGAGAGGGTTTGGTTTTTTTCATTCCCATAAAGGGCCAAGCCTAGAGGGATGACAAATTCACTTTTAAACACATTAGAATTCCTTGTTATTTCTGTAGACAAATTGGATTCTTGACCCTACTTTTTTTTCCCCCTCTCTCCTCGATACCGCCAAACAAGAGTGCCTGGAGTACCCGATGACAATATTACCTGATTATCCAACTACTGCAATAACACAAAACTCTTAGAAAGATGTTGCTACAGCCTCCCGCACCCGGTATGCAACAGCATGGAGAATGAAGTCTCTACTGAAAAGAAAGAGGATGAAAGAGAAGGAAGATAAATTAGCCCTGATGTGCTCTTGTGAAATGAGCTGGGACGCTGCCACTCAGTGAAACTGTTCCACCTTCACATCGCATCCCTAGGCTGAATGTTACGGATACATGACAAAGGAATGGAAAAGCTGCCCTTATGCATTTGGAAATGGCTTTACCTGAATGATCAATACCTTAAAAAGTGCAGGATTCTACAGTAATGGTTGCTACCTCGGCAGGAGCATTATGGGCTCCATTGTGGGTTTACCACAAGCCCAGAATCAGGGGCATCGTGAAACTGTGTGGTCACAGGAGCAAAAATCTGCGCCAGCCCTATGCCTGTCACAGCTTACTTCCCTCTTCCTGTGTCTGTTCAGCCGCACTGGCTGGTGTGTTGTAGGGGCAGAAGGGACCTCACCAGTAAGGGAGGGGGAGGCTGTTGTGCCTTTTGTGATTAAAGCAGACCATGCCAAAGAGTAGGAGGCCATCTTGTAACCCCTTCTTCCTCTGAGTGAGCCACAATTTTGCCCTATGTGTGTGTGTGTGAATTATGATTATTAAGGTAAGCTGCAGTGTTTGGGACAGAATGGCATCAGGCTTTAGGGACGGGATCTACCATTTTCTGGAGGGGAAGACAGCTGAACTTTCTGCAAGGCAAACAGTGGGCCAGACTGTGCCTTGCAGTATATGGGACATATCAGCTCTGCAGGAGAGGAAGGGGAGTCAAGCCCCCACATATGCATTGGCCAGCAGAGCTGGCTGGGGGCAGTGGGATGAGGAGTATGCTACGTCATGGAAGGGCTGATACTGAATCCTCACCAGTGGGAAAGGGGAGGTGTCTCTGGCGCACAATTCCTTCCCAGAGTTCCCTTGGGGGCTGCACAGCCAGACGCAGCCTAGGAGGGCCGAGTCCAAAGGCTCAGTCTAGCCCGTTAATAGCTACTGCTGATGAAATGGCAGTATAGGGTTTTAAATACTACCCTTGCTATGGTATTTTTAAACATTTTACTTTTTGCCATTAAAGACAAGGAGGTGGACATCCAAGAAAATTCCTCCTTCTATGGACATGCCGCTGTAGACGGTGAAGCAGCAGCACCTAAAATAAAACAACGGGCCAGCTGGTTCACTAAGAGCGACACAGTGAAAGGAATGCCCATTTCTATATGCTCGAAAGCATCTGTATAGAGCCGTGCATCACAGCCTCTCTGCTCAGGGGCAAAGAGCCGGAGCACTGCAGAGACGCTCTAATGGCTTTACGAAAACAGCAGTGTGTTATGTAATCCTTAGCTACCCGTGCACATATAGCTGCCTTAGTCCGCACAGTAGAAGGCAAATGTTGTTGTTTAATGTGCGCGCCTAACAGGTGAGGCACCCAAATCACCCGTATGTCGAGGCACCTAAATAAAAGATGTGCTGACAGAGCTCCATTGTCCTGTAAGGACCTGCCAGCACTCAACACCTCAGGCCGGTTTTAACTAGGAGCTTAAACTAGGGTTGCCAGGTGTCCGGTTTTCTGACTGGTCGCTAAAAGTCTGGTTGGCCGCAGTAACCGGCCTCCGCCATTGCGGGGTGGGAAGAGCAGCAGCTGGCGCAACATGGAGGAGCTGCTCTCTGCTGATGCCTGACAGAGAGCAGGGGCAGGTTTTGGGACCGGGCTCGCAGAGGTAGGTGCTGCTGCCCAGGTGTGTGGGGGGGAATCCTGTCCACCCCCCCTTCTGCTCCACCATTCCCCAATTGCCCCTTACCCCAGGGACCAGCCCCCACTGTGCCCCAGTTGCCCTGGCCTCTTGGGAGAAGAGGCAGGGCAGGGGGTGTTCGGTTTTCAGCAATTAGAAAGTTGGCAGCCCTAGCCTAAATATAAAATGTAGGATGTCTAACTTGGGCACTCAAGGTGGACTGTGTAGCCTCTGATGTAGCTACTGTACATCTACTCGCATGGGTGCGTGCGCTACTGAAAACTTACGGGAACGCTTTACAACCTGGGGACTCCGTACGCTGCACTTTCTACTAGACCAATCTAGTAGTGGGATGTCAAATTGTTAATCAATCAAGATTTCAGTTTGCTAAGTAGTGCTTTTCCTCTGCTGTAGCTGCCAATCGGTCTGAAATCATGAATGCACCATATATGATACTGCAGTGCTTTGCAGTATACATATATGCTAATTTTTATCAATACAACTTGTGTAAAAACCTTAATTATAAATTAATGCTCAAGATTCTGTCACAGGTATTTTTAGTAAGAGTCATGGAAACCCGCGACCTGTCCCTCACTTTTACTAAAAATACCCTGTGGCAGGGGCTGACCACTGCTGCTCCAGCCCCAGAGGGACTGATTCAGCCCTTGCTGCTGCTCTCGTGGGCTGGGGACCACTAACCAGCAGCGGGCCATCAGCCAGCTGTTCAGCAGTCCAGGACTGGCCACCGGTCAGCTGTTCTAGTAGCCACTTCTCTGGCAGCCCAGGGGCTGATAGCTGCTCCAACCCTGCCCCAGACGACGACAGAGGTCCTGGAAAGTCATGGAATCCAGGCCCTCCGTGACAAAATCACATCCGTACTTATACTGTGTGTATTATTGCTCTGTGCAAAAGTTCTACTGATCTCTTTATCATCAATTGCTCACTACTGAACTGCAAACTATTCAGTTCATAAAGGGATAATACAAAATCTTTTCTTACTCTTCCTTAACACCCCCGCCCCTCCCCCCCCACACACACACTAGTTCCTAAGTACAATATCTGAGTATGGACTGTCTGTCACACCATTAACAATATCAAAGGCATGAGGCAAGAAAGAGCTCTCCCCTTGCCAGAAAGTTAAGTATGTCCTTAACTTTAAACATATGCTTAAGTCCCAGGACAGTAAGCACATGCTTTAACTGCTTTCTTGAATTGGGGTCCCAATCTGAGTGCAGCCCAAGGCTTTCCCCAGCAGGGCCACCCCGGGGTGGGGGCAAGTGGGGCAATTTGCCCCAGGCCCCACAGGGGCCCCCACGAGAATATAGTATTCTATAGTATTGCAACTTTTTTTTATGGAAGGGGCCCCCGAAATTGCTTTGCCCCAGGCCCTCTGAATCCTCTGGGCGGCCCTGTTCCCCAGATACTTACATGTCCCATCTTGAAGCCTAGTAACTTTAGCCACTTAGCTTTGAAGAAAAACGTACGGGATCACACACACATTAAAGACATGGAAAAGAATGACACCTGTCAATTCCACTTGTGCTGAACTCTCACCATATTATTGCTGGGCAAGAATGAGAACGTCCGATTTCCAGACTTCTTTTCTTTGCTATTCCTAAGAACTGAAGGCCGGCACTCAATGCCAGGAAAGGTTTTTGCTTGCCAACAAGAGAGCGTCACCAGAACTTTGAAAGAGCAAATCCACCCCAGTCCCCCTTCCCCACCCCACCCCGACGTCCCCTATTGTCACCCTTGATTACAGAGGCAAGAGAAGAGTTGTCAGGTAATATCAACATCAGATGCCACAGGCAGTCATCAGTTTTTCTTTCAGCTGCTTACCAGTGTGGCTCCTTTTATGTACCATAAGCACATTGGGCCCAATGCAAACCATGCCACAGACGTCACATTTCAGTTTACCATTCGGAAGCCGGATTCCTCCCTCGCCTGACAGCTCCTGGATCTTTCTGTTGTCCGCCATCTCGTTGTTCTCAGTGAGGGGTTCTTCCAGGCTGCTTCCTTCATCATGACCCCTGATCTCATCTTCACGGCTTAGGGGTTTCCTGTCAGACTCCTCATCGCTTTGCATTTCTAGCTTTACTGAATTTGCTGAAATGTTAAAAAAAAGATATAAACAAACAAAAAAAAAATCAGTCTTTTCCTCATTACCAATTAACTAATACCATGACCAATTAGCATTATTATTATTAATTATTTGACTACAATAGTGTCTAGAAGCCCCAAACAAGATCAGGGCCCCATTGTGGTAGGTGCTGTACATGCACATAGTTAAAGACAGACCCCACCCCTAAGCATATGCAATCTACTCTAAACAGACAAAAGGTAGGAGAAAGGAAGCATTTTTATTCCCGTTTTGCAGATGGGAAACTAGGGCACAGAGAAATTAAGTGACTTGCCCAAGGTCACCCAGAAATTCTGTGAAAGAACAAGGAACTGAATCCAGATCTTCCACTGCTTTGACCACAGAATCATTCTTCCTTTCATGGATCCACTGAATGCAAGGAGTATGAAGAGTGGTGTACCACAGGGAATGAGCAGTTAACAATATTTACTCCTCCCCTCGCACCTAGTTCTAGCAGTTGCACATCAAACTATATACACCGCAGTCTTCCAGTTAGAGAAAGCTACACAATCAATTCACTGAAATGAGCTCTCCTTACAGGCAAACTTGTTCAAAATAAATTAGTTTAATGAAGCAGGGCATACATGGTGCAAAGATAATCTCCAAGTCATAGTTCTTGCACAGACATGTTTTATGACAGAGGGAAGAGATACGATACATGAGCCACTGCTTTTCTGCTACTAAGGCAAATAGGCCTGAAATGAGACCTACTATGCCAACTATGTTCTGGTTTGCAGTTCATGTATACAAGTGGGATAAGGGCATCCCATAGTCTGTGCACTCTGTTACAGCCTGACACACAGCCTGGGAGTCTTTCATTGACTTCAGCGGACTTTGCTTCAGACCGTTAAGGTGTCATCCAAATTCCATCAAAGCCAATGAGAACTGAAAAAAAAATCAGGCCCCTTATTGAGGTGTCTCAATGCGAGTTTATATCCCGCACCTTAGGCACCGACATTTGAAAATGTTGTCCAGTTAGTGAAAGTTGCTGTAAAGAATGCCCCAGAGTTTCACTGTCTAGCCACAAAACAGGTATAGGTGTGTCAGAACCTGAAGACCTAAAGAAGAGCTCCGTGTAGATCAAAAGCTTGTCTCTCTCACCAACAGAAGTTGGTCCAATAAAATGTATTACCTCACCCACCTTGTCTCTCTCATATAGGAACAATTTCAGCCCCTACAGACTGAGGTTCGAGTTGAACCAGAGGGTAAAAGCTTCCTCCATTTCCCATTACAAGTACCCTGAGCTATCCAGTCCCTTAGCATGAACCTCACTAGTTACCCTTCTATGTCCCCACCCTAAATATTTGATAGTTTAAAAAAAAAAAAAATGAGAAGGTTCAGAAATCTGTGTTTCCATGTGACCTAGGGCATGTATAGTGATAGGAACAAAAACAGGAGCTCAAAGGCCAATTAGAGGTGACTTTCTAATTGTACAATTGTCGAAATACATCTCCCACTGTCCACCATGGCATTAATGGGAGCCAAGGAATGAATATACCGTAGTAAGACCATACAGAAAAAGGAGATAGAGTGACCAGATGTCCCGATTTTATAGGGACAATCCCGATTTTTGGGTCTTTGTCTTCTATGGGTGCCTATTACTCTCCACCCCCGTCACGATTTTTCACATTTGCTGTCTGGTCACCCTATAGACAGACTATGGTAGCCGTATGTCATTGTAAACCCAGCCATCAAAACATTCAACATTTTACATTATGAAATATTTTTGCTCTTTATTTGCTGAACGAAACGGATATTTTATTTCCACAAAGATACATTTGATGATACAAAGACACCATGTCACAACTGAGGGCTAAACAGTGACTTTGCCTCAAGTTCTGGGTCTGGGCTCCCGCTCATTCCCTGCCCCTTCTGGCCCATTCCCCATGCACAGGAGAGGGCAGGAATATAGCAGCCCACAGAGGCCGCTTTCTCCAGCACGCTGCTAGCCATGCTATGGGTAACTGGCACAGAGGAACAAAGGGAAGCCTTACTACCCTTTACTCACCTGTGTGGACATGAAGGACAAACCACAATCTGGCCCCAAATCGGTACAATTCCTACTTTTTACACAGAGCTGCTCAAAAAACCACGGAGATAAAGTTTTCTTGAAAAGGTCTATGAAAATCTCACCCTTTTTTTTAATCAAAATTGGAAATTTCAATTTTTATTCCAACCTGCCCCAGTTGTGTTTGTTTGAATGAAGTGAGATGATTCAAGGTAACAAATTAAGAGCCAAAGACCTGGGATCAATTCCTAGCTATGCCACTAGCCTGCTGGGAGACCTTGGGCAAGTCATTTCCCTCATGGTGCCTCCGCTTCCCCATTTGTAAAAGGATACTGACCTCCTGTGTAAAGCACTTTGAAATCTACACATTAAAAACAACATAATTATGCTGAGCTCTTACACTACTTTATATCAGAGCTCAAAGCGACTCACAATCTTTGAACGTGTTTACGCTCACAACACTCTAAGGCAAGGCAGTGCCATAGCCACATTTTACAGATGAAGGAACAGAGGCACAGAGAGGCTAACTGACTTTGCTCCAGGTCACACAGGACGGTTTTAGTTCATTGCAAGGCCTTTGCTTTGGGAATTAAAGGGCCAAGGTTCTAACCCTACCTTATCTTTGAAAGTATCTGTGTAGGATTTATCCGGAGCCGGATTATTAAAGGTGCTGAGAACCAGCAGCTCCCATTGACTTCCGCTGAAACTGGGGGTGTTCAGGGTATCAGCACAACAAGCCCAAATTAATCATGGCTGCTGTCTATGTGGATTTGTTACACGGGAAGTCTGTGGCAGAGTGAGGAGTAGGAGGACACTGCTCTCCTAACCCCAAATACTGTGTTTTAACCACAAGATTGCCCTTTATCCCTGTAGAGTAGGAATAATATGCAAAATAGTCACAACACACTTTGCACCAAGTGAAGGGGTGTGTGTATATGTGAGTGACCGAGTGTGCACATGCGAGAGAAATTTGTATCCAGGGTGTATTTTTATATAACTGTAACTCTACTGTATAAATACAGTACAATAACTGTTCATAGGTGCTGAGCCTTCACAGTTCCCATTCAAGTCCACGGGAGCCCTTGTTGCTGAGCGTCTCTGAAAATAAGTGCTTAGAAACTGGGAGATTGTTACCAGTGTCTTATTTTAATCTTACCCGAGTGTTTCTTTCTGCTGAATGCTGGCTTGCATCCAGTAGGATAAACAGCAAAACAAAACAGAGCAAGTTGTTTGCTGCAAAACACCACACAAGCCTCTCAACTCCTCAGAATACAGCTTGGTAGAACCCTCCAAAGGCTGTATACGGAGAGTTGCTCATTCCATCTCGTCACTTAAAAGCATTCTGGCTATTGTGCAGAATTGTTCAGCCGGTTGACAAATTTTCACTCCCTTTGACTCTGTTCCTGTCGCTTTCAGAAACCTGTGGTTGTTGCTCTGTGAAGGTTCCCTCTTCCGCTGGGACTAGGGAGAGTTGCAGGTCTCCAAGGCAGGGAATGCTGCTACTGTGGGGATCGCCTCAGCTCTTCATGAGGACTTTGCTAATCAGGTCATCCTTGCTGCTTTACTTCATGTGGATGCATATGCCAGACATGTACAATATTTTACAAACACACACAGTGCATGGGGTGTATTTATTTCTTCTATTTTATTCAGCCCTAAGACATGAGCTAATTACCTAACCTTCTCTTTGATTTCACCTATTGCCACAAATTAACATAACTCTTTTATTTGTTAAAAGAGAGAAAGGATGTATAAAGCAGAGTTTGGGGCTATCCTGTACTGTATAATGTCTACAGGTAAACTGCACCACAAGGCTCTTTCTTTCCTTCTTTGCACGCTCACTGAAAACTGTGGTCATTCTTGCACTTGACTATGCAATAGATAAATCCATACGCACAGAACAAAGTTGAAACTTTTCAGCACCTCTTCTACAAATCTCAACAATGCAGCAAATGAGTCTAAAATGTCAAACACAATCCAGAAAGACAAGCTGGGTGAGGTAATCTCTTTTATCGGACCAACCTCTGTTGGTGAAAGAGACAAAACTTTTGAGCTTATACCGAGCTCTTCTCCAGATCTGAAGAAGAGCTCTCTGTAAGCTCAGAAGCTTGTCTCTTTCACCAGTGGACGTTGGTCCAATAAAAGATATTACCTCACCCACTTTGTCTCTTTAATATCCTGGGGCCAATACGGCTACAACCGCATTGCACAATAATAATTTTAAAAAAAACCCAGAGTTTTACAAGGAGCATCAAACCTGAAGCCAGAAGTTTTTCCCAGTTTAACATTTCTTCATTTTATCACCATTCGCTTTATTGTACTGTTCAACACCTCCTGACAAAACGGAGACAATCACCCACCATAAAAGCACCACCCGTAAACTTAAAGCTAACAGCATGCATTCAGTGGGGGCACACAACTGCTTTTCTTTCCCCCTGAAGATCACTATTCAACTGACTCTAGCTTATACTTTAAGAGTAATTATTTTCTACAGGGCCTCTCTAGATAAGGCAATCTTGTCTCATGTGCTAATTAATCAACAATGCCATATTAAGCAGTGCTTTGGTAAGTCCTTAGTGCCAAAATATTTTCTTTATCCATGAATAAGCGCAACAATCACCAGCAAAATATTAGCAGATGTTATGCTCCTATTTTAATGATTTTTCTAGCTTGAATATTACAAGATGATCCTGCTGTGCATTTTATCTTCTATTATGGAAGTTATCTCCCCCAAAAATGAGATTTAGAAAATCCCTAGTGTCTCATTAAAAGTTTTGATCCCCAGCTGGGACTACAAGGTACAGTACTGAAAAGTAAAGGTCATTATTAAAAAAAAAAAAAAAACACAAGGCGGTAGTAATGCACTGTGGCACCCCACTGCAAGACAAAGGGAAGCACAACGCTCCTGCTGATAGAATATCATGGGGCAGATACAGCGTAACATAGAAAATCAAAGAA